TAATTATTCTTTACTGTATAAAATATATATAAAACATAATAGAAGGAAAAACAAAACCTAATGTTGACACCATCCAATGGGGCGCAGTCGTTCAGATGGGGTACATAACCACACATCTGCTCTTCCACTTAACCCCTCCAATTTAATTAACTAAACAACAAAGTGGAATGAAACTAACTATATAATGATGTGAAGCGTATGATTAACATACATATGGGAATGACGATTGAACAAAAGCGACAAAAGAAAATAATAGTAATAATAAAAAACATGTTTCGTGTACGTTGTTTAACAACTAAGAATATAGTATTCTATTGCGAGTACCTTGACGTTTGAAATTTCCCAAGCTTAGTGTTTTAAAATTGTTGGATAAGTTGTAAATGTTACTTATATTGAACTATCTCCATAGAAAGAGATCTGACTATTTTCATGGAGGAAGGTTTCTAATAGGACACAAACTACGCAATACATAGGTAATCCTGCAGTATTGCACTAAAAGTAATACCATGGTCTAGAATTCTAGATACAACACTGTGGTAGCCATCATAAAAGTGTGTATTTATGGGAATGAGTAATATCCCTCGGATAACGATTATTACTAACAGATAGAGGCGCAAAAAACCTTTCAGTCACTGCCCCTGTGTCTCCCATGTTCCTACTTACATCAATGGATATAACTGATATAAGAATATGGTTTGTCACTTTTAGTAACCAACAAAATAGGTTAAATATTACACATTCGCACTTTCAAGGAATCTCCACTTTGATTTTAATACATATACAACAATATCATCAAACAGTAATATATCATCAAAATATTTAAAAATTAATCCACTATACTAAGTAACCAATAGTAACAACAAATAAACATTTCAAATATAAATAATAATTCGAATTATACATTATTTATGTGTAAAAATTTGTACAAAAACATATATAATAAAAATTAGAGATATAGTTATAAAGTGGTAATAATTAAATCCAACACTCTCACTTCAAACTGTCAAAATAATCGTCAGAGAATTTGTGAGATTTACTCGATGGGCTTGGAAAGGAGTATTCGTCAATTTCGTTATTATTGTCGATCGCGCGTAAAGTGGCTAACAATTTATTCTTCTTGTCTGCGCCAATGTCGTCCCCTAATTCCGACTGAGATTTACCGTCGCCATCACCGTTCTGTTTTATCAACTCCGTCCGAAAGCTGTACTCGTTTTCCCAAATTTCGTTTGCGATTTCGAAATCCTTTTCCGGTATTTCGATCTTGTCTGCATTTAAAAACTTCGAGCAGCGCAATTTGGAATTCAAGACGTCGGTCTCGTGTAAATCTCTTAGGAGTTTTTCCGTTTCGTTGTGCACCTGTGCGTAATCCTCTTGGTGTTTCTTAACGACCGCGCTACAATCGACAACCGTCGATCGTATATCGGTGCAACAGTTCCCTAGACGTTTATTAATGTCTTGCTCCTTTTTTACCTCATCGAATTTCTTATCGAAAATATCCGAAGACGGAAACTTTTCCAGTTTGCTACCGGAAAGCTTACGTTTTACTGTAAGGAAGTGATTGTCTTCATCTGGCAAGCTTAGTTCTTCGACTGATTTACTTAGATGATCGATTTCTTTGCCGAGATTCGCTGATAATCTTGCTCTAATATTTTCACTAGGCGACACCATTGTTACCTCGCTCGAAAATGTCACCTTTGTTTCTGTGGTCGCAATGGGTTCCAGTTTAAGTTCGGATTCGTCGCCGTTTTCAAAGTCCTTCAATTTCTCCTTCATCAATGAATTTAGTTTAGGCTTCATTCTGTCATTTATCAGATTAGTAAGGGAGACAGTTTGTCGATTATTACTAGAAAATCGCTTGTGATCTTTAATTTCGGTTACCGTTCCATGTTTGGAGCTTCCCTGCAATTCTAAAAGTCAGCAATACATTACACTTGACATTAATTACCCACCTCTAGTAGCCCATTAAGCCGATCAATTTCAGAAAGTGCGTGTGAAAGTTCTTTTTGTCTTTGTTTACTTTTCATCACTTCCGCGTTCAATTTAGTTTTGTAATTCTTAGACTCCAGCAGGATCTTCCTGTTTAATAGGTTAATCTGCTCGTCACTACCTTTCAGTTTCTCTTTCAGATCCTCAACTTGGTCGGTTAACATCTGTCTCTCACCGAGATGCTTATTTTTTGTAAGCACCGTCAAACTTCTTAGCTGCATGCGAACATTCGCCAATTCTTCATCTTTGGTTTTCAGTTGGTCACTGACGTCTTTTATAGTTTTTCGTAGTGCCTTATTTTTTGTAGCTAAAACTCGAATATCTTCTTCGTAAGATTTCAGCAATCTTGGCAAATCAGCATTCGTGCCTTCGTACCTCGATAACGCTTTATCTTGTCTACTTTGTAGGTTTCTCAAAGCGCGATTTTCTTGTTGTAGTTCCTACAAATAGAAACCCAATGAGCTTTCGTTAAATTTGTTGTAAGAAACATACGGCCACATGAAAATTGGCGTCGTTTAACTTATTCTGGAGGGACCTCAGCTTCAATAGCCGAGCAGAAAGCACACGTTGCTGCACTGAGGTATTTCGTGGTGCGTAAGTTACTAAAGATGCAGCAAGAGGATGCACTTGCTTACGTTTCTGCATTAAACAACTGGAATTTGACGAACATACTGTGTCACAGCTTTTTCTCCTACGAGAACACCATGTACTCATATTTATGAAATTGTTTGCTCACCTTTGAAGGGATTTTTCATTTGAGCTTGCACTTGCACTGTTAGCCATTATTTAGAAAGCGAAATGAATTCATAAAAAAAATATATAAATGTCTACTTGAAGTAGGTCTGCTTTGTAACTCCATTATGTTTGTATGAACACGTTTTCATGGCAACCACGAATGCAGTGAAGGGCGAAGTGTAAATAATTCATAATCACAAAATAATGTTCATAAATGACGTAAATGCGAAGAACACATGGCACACACTAGGACCTATAAACTATTGCTGCAAGAGATTTACTGTGAACACTCCACAGAACTCCACCCATCAAAAATAAATAGGTATAGCAAGTAGCTATAAATTGTATAGTAATGGAATTTACCCACACAAAAAAAAAGCGTTTTCACAATGCAAAACATTCCTACTCTTTGTTATACCTAATTACCTACATCTAAAAGGCGATACTCTCCTATTTTACATCATCTGACGAAAGTTGACAGCTTCTTTGTCTTTTGTCCTGAAACATTAGTTTACTTACAGCTGCTATGGCAGGCGATCCACATGTCAGCTTTTTTTAAACCATTATATACTGCTAGATCTTCAGTGATCACTGATGACCACTTCAAAGGAGTCAATAATTGACACTTCATTCGCATCTTCAACATTCATATATAGCACTGACACTACCCGGTTATACCAAGCTAAAGATATGCAGTATCCAGTATATCCATACATTTTCGACAAAACAGTCGAAAGAAATTTCAAAAACGGACCGCTGCTGCTTAGAAATTTGACGTTTTTTAATCGACTTAAGATGGAATCAAGTATAAATTGTGCAGATAAAGAGCATTTTTTTAACTGAAATAGCTCAGTAAATGGTTGGGTTATAAGGGGAGGGGGCTTTTTACACATAAACATTTAAAGGCCGCATGGTATACATTCAAAATCTACGCTATATAATGCAAGAAGAATCAAGGCCCTAGAGAAATTGTCCGAAATATTGAATTTGCCCTTTAATATTTTCGAGATGTTCGCAATGAAGTTTATACATCGCCAGTAGATGTGTCTCTTTCCCCCCTTTGAAAGTATCCTCCTCTGACGCTCCGTTCTGCAGATATTTGCTCACCAGTACTTATGTTTCATCCAGGCCTAGACAATTCATTTTACCTTTCAGAGTAGGTACTCTCCGCGACAAACCGTTTTCGAGATATTCGCTCTTAAAGTTTTGGCATCACCAAAGAACATATTCGGTGTGCTATGGTTGGTAGAAAATAATTCCTTTTGTTGGACCGTTCGTTAGATTACCATGAAGAACACTGCCAATTCCGCCCCCCCCCCCACAACTGAAGGGAAAAGAAGTCGCGCCCCAACTCCTATTTTGATAGCGGGTAAGAAAAAAAGGCGATAGAAAACCATAAATGATAAAATACATCCCCCACTCCCCGCACAACTGAAGGGGACTGAAGGGAAAAGCAGTCGCGCCGGGAAGTTATAGCTTGCATGCACCAATCCATTTTGATGACACCTTTCATTAGAATGCTATGAAGCGTGTAGAACGACTGTCCACAACCTCCCCCCCTCCACCCCCCTATTCTCAAAGTTTTTCTTGGCACCACCAACAGCATGCGTATGCAAAACCTGAAATCAATTTTATGCACGTTTTATTTTCAAAAACGGCATCTCAGAAAATAATTCTTCTCCCCCCCCCCCCCCCCGCCGCCCTTACGATTCGATGGCCGCCTGGCAGGGCTCTGGAACAATTCCCCTAAAAGTAGTTCAAAACCGCAGAAGTGGGTCCGGACGGACGGACAAACGTAAAAACACATGTTTAATGTCCGTTTGCACTGACTTAACTTACAATCCATGGTAACCACTGTCTTAATAATCGTTGCCATGGCTTTTAAGCTACGCTTCAGCTATTATAAGCGCCATTTAAATTTGTCAGTGCTAACGGCCATGAATCCTAAGGGGAGTGTTACCCTTTAATTTGTAATTGAGCAGAGATTAAAGATATTACCCAAGCATGTAGTCAAGATCATGACAGAATCTCATTTTCCCCAGTTGATGAATATGCGAATATAATTCAGAACGACAAATCGTAGTGGGAATTGGGCCGTTTTCTGATTTGTTTGGTCAGAGAATGCCTTTGTAAATATCCATTCCACTTCCTATTCCTATTCCTCCACACTATTTTTACCGCATTTTTTGGAATAAAAAAAATGTGCCAATGTTTCACTTTTGTCTGCCTGCCCGGACACTAGGAATTGACCTAGAGTCCTCGAATTTGTTTAAGTAGGTAGCGTATACTTTAAAGGTGTGCTAGACAGCCATCAAATGTGGTTGTACTTGGGGGGGGGGGGGGATCCTCACGAATTATCATGTTTTTGATAATTAAACGTGCCTTACTTTTACATGCCACAACGAATTATTGGTCTCAGATTTTGCAGACGCATGACTTTAGTGGTGCCGAGTAAAGCATTTTATAATTGACCTTGACTTGACCTCTATTGTGATCAGTTATAATTCGCAAAGCGTGATTGGGATGTCTGGAAGAAATATATAATAATATAATTAAAAAATTCAGTGGTGAAGGAGGTTAAAAGAATCATTTCCTACAAAAGGGTTCAAAATGTTTGTTTGGGAGACAAAATGCCCACAATTTGTATTTCTTCTCAGTAACCATAACAGATAAAAGGGAATTTGTCACTTTTCAAGGTTTTGTGATATACCCTGGAGATTTGGATAGGTTATTTTTTATATTCAGATGTCTCTCAGATAACAAACTTCGTAGAGCTACTTTGGTGTGAAGAAACTAAAATATGTTAACTTTAACTCCAAATCAATGGTATAAGAACTGTTCATATAGTATACCGACGTATAATTATTATTACAATAATATATCTTCTGGGTAATATATATGTTGTAGGCATTTTGTATGTTGTTTTGAAGATATTATCTAGTGTTCCAGACAAAATGTTCACCCTGTATATAACACCCTTACCTGAAGTTGGTTTGTTACATATTTTACACTATTTCTTATAAGTGCTTTAGGATCTAGATTGGAAAGACATTTTCCTATAAATTGCAGCCTGTACCGTCTAAACCCGATTTTGACAAAAATTTTATGTATATGCCAAAAAGTTCCTGCCTCTTCTACATTAAATCTGTGCCTATTAAATGTGACAATTAGTATGTAATTACCAGTAACCAGTGATGTTCTGCTAAAAAAGATTACGAAAATGTTTCATTACTAATCATTCTCATTTATTAGGATTAATATCACAGAACAATTTTTATCTGGAATTATTTATGTGACGTCATTGTATATGTGAATATGTAAGCTATATTTACATAGTATATTAAGTAATGGTTTATAAAATACCTGCGATGTTAATAATCTTTAATAGGTGTATTCGTTTCTGGTGATTTATAAATCACAATCAGTTTCACAAAAATCAGTTCAGTTAAATCACTTGAAGAAAACACAGACTTGACAGTTTGGTGTTTGTTATTACTTAACATATCTTAAAAAGAAATGGATTGGTTTATTATAGTTTTTTAGCGGTAATATTGTTTAAATCTTGCTCAATCAATTCAATTAGAATTCATATTAAAAGAATGCTTGTTAATATTTAATGTAGAACCTTGTACAATGAGATTTTTCCGTAAATAAACATTATTATTAGTATTATTAAATATGCGGTACGTTGAACCAAAGAGTATGAACTTTATTTGTATAGGAAAACTGATTCAGAGGATATTCGACAGGTACACTACTCATAAATAGAGACCGGATTTCATGCTTTTATGCATTACGGAAATAATATATGCAGCTCAAAATAAAGAAATCATTTAAACGAACTAACAAAAATGAATCACATTGGCGCAAAGAAAATAGTGCATATTTTTCATTTTTGGGGTTTTTGTACATATTTAAGATAGATTAGCATTTCATCAATTTTTTGAACCATTTTTATTACAAAACAAGCTTCCAGTGGTTCTAATTGCAAGAATTATATTTTTATTTATAAATTATAAAGATAAACAAATAATAAATCAAATAAAATAAAAATTATAAGATAGAAACAGAACAAAAGAAAACAATAAAAATAGAAAAAAAATAATAAAAAACAAATGAAATACAAAAAAAATATGGCGCCCAAGTTTGCTAAATTATAAAACGTCAGCGGTGTTCAATTCAGCATTAATTTATAATACAAGCAAATTTTCAAGTTCAACAAATAAGACGACGACATTAATTGTTTTAATACAGCTTATGTTTAAATAGTTTGAATCAAAAAAGTTTCAATATTTTTTTGTGCATTGTTTATTTTTTCATGCATATCTCCATGCTTTTTTGCCATATTTTTTGTGAGTATATATGTGCATTTTTGATGTGTTTTCATGCATATAAGTCTGGTCCCTACTCATAAACAGTTCTTAAATGTCCGATAAAAAAATAAACAAACAGCCTGGGAGGTTATGATTCCAGTTTTCTGAGGTTATGTTAATTGAAGTGATTTAACTGTACTAACTTTTCCCGCAATCAGATAATAGTGATTTCTGTTCACTTGGTCAGTAGCAGGGGGAACTGATTGTAAACGAAAAAAACAAAGTGCAATCACTTCAACTGATTTAACTTAGTTAATTAATATGTTGATGACGCTAATTCCAGAAATTTTTTAGAAGGCCCTTTTAATTGTCGGTCCATTTTATTACTAAATGTTTTCGCATTACTGTTCTTTACCCATCGCTCATTTAATTATAACTGCATGTAAAAGAAGGTAGATGGTTCCTACACATTTGCAAACAAAGCACCCTATCACATATACAACTAAAGTTGATAATAAATCCGTAACCTCGCGAAATCACGAAGAAACCATTATACTAATTTTCCAACTCGTGTCCAAATTCGGAGGTGGTTCTCTGTATTTCACATCTAAAAACAAATTTCGGGTTTATAGTTCAATAGCACGGTACTTACCTAATTGTTTCACATTTTCATAAATACGAGAATCTTGCCCTTCTAAGTCCGAATTTAAATGTGGTGGCCATATTTCGGTGAGACACTTTTTAATATGTAACTGAAATTCGAACAGTGCATTATGTAGCGCACTTATAAATTTGACTGCGCCAGATGTGTTGATATCAACCGCAATAAGGCAAATCTGTCGAACCATCGGTCCCATAGAAAAGACTTCGACTATTAATTCGTAGAGCGCTCGCATTAAGGCAATGTCCTCGTAGACGCCTCCTTCGCGAAGGTCTTGCTTTTTTCTTTCTTCTTTACGACGTCGACGGCTGGCAGTCGACGCTCTTGAACTATAAGAACCGGGCACAGTTA